CCTGGGAAGTGGAGGTTGCAGTGAGCCGAGATGGCGCCATTGCACTCTAGCCTGGGTGACAGAGCCAGACTTTGTCTCAAAATAAAAAATAAACACAACTTTCCAGGAAAGCTCTGACCCACTGCACCCACCCCATGCTCACAGAGATGAACATGTCCCCACCCGTGCCACACACACACACACACACACACACACATAGGCTGCACAGGCACACATGTGCACACACGAGCATAGAGCCGCAGTGGTGTATCCAGAGGAGGGAGGTGCCCAGGGACAGAGGGAGAGGAGGGGCAGCGAGTCCTGCCCGTCTCCCACCGCACCTCCCCATGTCCCACCAGTTGAGCCCGTGTCCCTGGCCTGTTCCTGGCAGCCCCTGTGCCAGGTAAGAGCCTGGAGAGATGGCTTGGTGAATGGGGTGGGAGAAGGCTGGGGCTGCCATGGAACGAGCCAGAGTTTGAGGTTCAAATCCCACAGCCCCGACATTCTGCACTCCAAGGTTCAGAGAAATGACTTAACCTGCCTGAGCGCAGTTTCCTTATCAGATAGGCAGGTCAATGAGACCGCTCTCGTGGGCTTGCCGTACCTGGTATGTAGAAGGTGCTAGATACATGTTTTGAGAAGGCCTCTAGCAGCCTGGAGCAATGTAGTTTGGACCAGACTGTACATCCCAGCCTATGCACCTCCTAGCAGGTCATTTGCCATCCCCCACCTGAACCTCAGTTGTCGAATGTTTAAAATGGGGCTAGTCAGTGATGCCTCTGCCTGGTCTATCTCGGACCATTGTAGTGAGGCTCGAAAAAATGACCCTGTGAGGAGTGGTTTGGTCCTGTGGGGGAGCCCCATGGGGCAGTGATGTTGGGAGCCAGGGAATCGCTGGCAGCTACCGTTTCCCCCATCCTCTCTCCTCCATGAGAACACCCCTCCCCCACCCGCCAGGGCACCCACCAGCTATCGTTTGGGGTCCAGTGGAGAAACTACCCCAGGGCGTGCATTTCCAGAGTAGGGAAAGGCTCCAGCCAGAGTGGTATTGGAGGCCGGAGCTGGGGGATGCATTTTCATATGGGGGTTGGAAGGATTGCTCCCTGGAATTGCCTAGGACCCATCTGCTGAGCAGCTCAGCCAACCACAAATGCAAGGAACACCCCATGGCCAGTCTCAGACCAACAACAACTATGACCATTATTAACTGGTGCGTACTAAATACCAGGGAGTGCGCTGAGTGCTATCTATGCATCATCATTTCACCCTCCTAATAACCGATGGGGTTCATGCTGTTATTATAATACCTATTTCTACATATCATGAAACAGACTCAGAGAGGCTGGATAACTTACCCAAGGCCACACAGCTAGAAAAGGGTGGAGCCAGTTTTGCTGCCCAAATCTGGCTGTCCCCTGAGTCCTGCCACCTCCCATACAACCTGGGCCAATCTCAGAGAAGGTCACAGACAGAGCACACACTGGAGGGACGGGGTGCCATGCTGTTGGGGACTGGTCATAACATGGGGACAGAAGGTAGCAGGCACTATCAGGAAACCTAGTGCTGCTTTGCCCACTGGTGAGTCAGTGACCTTTGGCCAGCCCCTTCCCCTCTGGGCCTCAGTCACCTGTCTGTAAAATGAGAGGATTGGGCCACGTCCCCTGGAGGCCCTCTCTGCCTCTGATTCACTCCACCACCCCACCTCCAGCAAGGTGATCATCTCATGTCTCATGTAGGATGTGTTCATTTCACAGCTGTCTAACCAAGGCTTCTTAACCGATGCGGTCACCAGACCTCTCTCCATGAGCTACCTGGGGTATGAGCAAAATTGCATATGAGTGTGTGTGCACAATTTGCATTTTTCTAGGAAAAGTGTCCATATTTTCACCAGAGTCTAATCCCAAAAGGCTGAGAACCATTAATTATTCTAATCTTCTTATTTTATTTTATTTTTTGTTTTTGAGACTGAGTCTTGCTGTTGCCCAGGCTGGAGTGCAGTGGCGCAGTCTTGGTTCACTGCAGCCTCCGCCTCTCAGGTTCATGCGATTCTCGTTCCTCAGTCTTCCGAGTAGCTGGGATTACAGGTGCCTGCCACTATACCTAGCTAATTTTTGTGTTTTTAGTAGAGATGGAGTGTCACCATGTTGGTCAGGCTAGTCTTGAACCTCCTGACCTCAAGTGATCCACCTGCCTCGGCCTCCCAAAGTACTGGGATTATAGGCATGAGCCACCACGCCTGGCCTTTTTTTTTGGAGACAGGGTTTCATTCTGTTGCCCAGATTGGAGTACAATGGTGCGATCATAGCTCACTGCAGCCTTGACCTCCCCAGCTCAAGCAATCCTCCCACCTCAGCCTCTTGAGTAGCTGGGACCACAGGCGCACACCACCAACCAGGTTAATTTTTAAATGTTTTGTAGAGATAGGGTCTTGCCATGTTGCCCAGGCTGGTCTGGAACTTCTGGGTTCAAACAATCCACTCACCTCTACCTCCCAAAGTGCTAAAATGTCCCTGTTCTTCTCTTCTTTTTCTTTTTTTTTTTTTTTTTTTTTTTTTTTTGAGATGGAGTCTCACTGTGTCTCCCAGGCTGGAGTGCAGTGGCGCAATCTCGGCTCACTGCAAGCTCCGCCTCCCGGGTCCACGCCATTCTCCTGCCTCAGCCTCCCAAGTAGCTGGGACTACAGGCGCCCGCCACCTCGCCCGGCTAGTTTTTTGTATTTTTTAGTAGAGACGGGGTTTCACCATGTTAGCCAGGCTGGTCTCAAACTCCTGACCTGGTGATCCACCCGTCTCGGCCTCCCAAAGTGCTGGGATTATAGACTTGAGCCACCGCGCCCGGCCATGTCCCTATTCTTGATGTAAACTTTTAGGGAAACAAGTCACAAAAGTTGAGTCCCTACCATATAATGTTCTTCTCTTCACTTGTGTTGAACATCCCCACAGGCTCCCTGGAGCAGCTCCTGCTCCTGGCACCCCAGGCTTCCGCCCTCGAGCCACACTGACCCACAGAGCCCCTCATCCCGCTGCCTCCAGTTCATCTCTGCCAGGATGCTGAAGTGCCCCTCGGCTCTCTGTCTTGTCATTCCTCACGCCTGTGTCTTCTTCTGGACCATCCCGGCAAGGACCAGTGAGTCTTTCATGAGGTGGGTGCAGTGACCAGGATGGCCAGCAGAGGCCACACGGAGATGCGCCCCCAGGGCATGGCAGGTGGAATCCTGTTGTGTTGGTGCGCTTGGCAGCCTGAGTGTGAGGACAGCATGGCGGCAGCCAGAGACTCGCATTTTGGGTCTGACTCTTCCCCTCTGTGGGCCTCAGTTTTTTCATCTGTAAAGTGGAGGGAGGTGGCTTGGAACCCCCGGATGGTTGCTAGGCAACTTTGCTGCATCAACATCCTGGGGACCTTTCTGATTGATGCTGGGGGAAGGGAACTGTCTTGAACTCCCTTTGGCAGAAAAAATTCGCCCAGCAGCCTTAGGCAATGGAGCAAGATTACTCCAGGCCCTTCCTCAGACGTGACTGAGAAAACAGAGCCCACTAGGCACCAGCTTACAGAGGGGACTCACCCCTGGGAGAAAGCAGGGCTTCAAATCAGGCTGCCCATGAGCTGCCTGTGGTGATGTGGGACATGGAGACCCCTCTGGAGGCCCAGAGCCCAGGTGATGGGCGGCAGCCTCCTGGAGTACGTTTCTGCCCATCTCTGGAAAAGCCCAGGCAGGCCTTGGTGGGAAGAGAGAACACGCACCCTCCTGCCCTCCACAGCTGCAGACCCTGGCAACAAGCCTGGAGGCTCAGTCATCCTCCTTGCTCAGGGGGACTCTCCTGCCCTGGTTCTCAGCCCTGCCTCTCCACCAGCTCCTCATTCTGGACTGAGCTAGGAGAGCAGGGTAAAGGCCTAGGGATCTCTTCAAAGATGCATAGCATGGGGGCTCGAAGACACTCCAGAGAACAGGACCCAGGACCCAGTCCTCACAAGCACAGAGAAGACCCCTCCCGCCCCACCCCAACCCCCCACTCTTCATACCCAAAGCATTAAAGGACAAGACACAGGCATGACACTGGTGGAGAACATTCTCTACAAAAGTGGTAATGAGCCTGCAGGAGGGATTCGGGCTACAGTGGTGGGCACACAGAGCCTGCTCCACCCCAGCACTGGCTAGAATCAGGAGGGGCTGCGGCAGTAAATGGACAAGGAATGGGAGAGAAGGGGCAGCACCTGGGGCTCTGGGAAAAACAAGTCGGCACTTGGGGGTGGCCCCAGGCTCAGGCCCAGAGAACAGGGAGAAGCGCTGCGGTGGGCTCCAGATAGCAGTGGCAGGCAGCCAAGCCCTCAGTGTCCTGCAATAGGACAGGGACCATCTCCTCCACGCCCCCGCTCTGGGCATGTATATGGGAATGGGAACCCCCGGACAGACCGAAAAGAGGCCTTTGAGGGCTCTCTTTCCCCTACCCCAACCAAGGGGGCCCCGGGAGGAGCTGGGGGCTGTGGCCATGCTCCCAGCAGGAGCTGCTTCCCAAGCTGAGGTCAGGGATGGGGGGCCATGGCTGAGAAAGGAGGAGAGCACCTCTGCATGGGGTGCGAAGGGGCACACACATGTCAGCGGGCTCCTGAGGGACTCTCCCATATCTGTGACCTCGGTCTGGCTGGAGAGCTCTGGGGGCACATGTCTGAGGACACATGCTCTGACCACCCTCTGAGCTGGCCTTTCCCCTGGTCTCACCATCACAGGGCTGGGACACAGGCGAGCTCTCCCTCAGCCCCGATCCAGCAGCCCAGCCCCTCTTTGGTAAAGAGGGAAACTTACCAAACAACACCCAAGGTGAGCGCGCACACACACACGCATGCACACACACACACACACGGATAAACACACACACGTGTGCACGCATGCACACACATGCATAAACACACACAAACGCGCGCACACATGCACACACATGCATAAACACAAACACGTGTGCACATGCACACACACGTACACACACATGCACGCACACACACATGCATGTGCGTGCACACGTACGCAAGAGCACACACACCACACACGTACACACACATGCACGCACACACATACATACACGCACACACACAGCCCTGGTGACCTGGGGACAATCTGCAGTTTAGATTATCCACTTTCTCCATATCGCAGGACTTACCCAACCCAGGCCCAACACCCAGCCACACCCTGTTCTGCCTGTCCCAGGCCTGGGAGACTGAGGAGGTTGGCAGACACCTTTCTCTGGCCCAGCGCATGCCTGCCAGGCCTGGGGGCTATAACACTGCAGCCTGTTGGTCTAGCACCTTGCATCTAGTGCCCTGGCCCTCTGGGGTCCCTGGCGGGGCCAGGCTGCACAATGAAAAAGCGGGAGGCTGGAGGAAGACAGGCCAGGCTCCATCCCTGGATGAGCTGGGAAGGGCGTCAGTACCCCCAGCCTGGCTCTCCAGCTCCAAGCCTTGGCCACTGGCTGAAGGAGGGGATGCTGGCTGTGCTTAAAATGGGTGCAGACTGAAAGTTGGGGCATTTGGCTGAAGAGTCTGGCTGAGAAACTTCCCCTCTGGGGTGGACTGGAAGAGGGGAGGCAGCCCAAACTCTTCCCTTCACAAAAATGCAGGAAGTGAGCAAGTCTCCGGCCTGAGCACAAGAGAACAAGACCATCAGGGGAGGGGTGGGAGAGGCCACGGCACCCGGGACAGGCACGCCCTCCGGCATCCACCTCCCACACTCCCATCCAGTTCCATGCCCCTGCCCTCCCTCTGGGGTAAGCCTCCCCCAAGTCTACATGTCCTTTAGGGCTGCTCAGAATGGGTGGCTCAGGGCCTTTGAGACCCCTCAGAATTGGAGGGGACATTCTCTTGCCCCTCTGGTGCCTCCAGGCTACACCCTCTGCTTCAAGGTGTGGACAGCCTTTCAAAGGAGTCGACCCACGTGGTCCTTGCTCCTGGGGAAGGGGGCTGCAGGGCTGGCGACTGTGAGGACCTTGAGGCCCCACCACAGGTTGTGGCAACTTGCAATTCATTTTGGTCTGGGGAGAGGAGCCCCCCGTTATCTGTGGAGGAAGAGACAGAAAGAAACAGATTTCACGTGAGGTCCTTTAGAGGCATCATTTTCACCTAGGACAGCCATCTGGACAACTTAGCCTTCCCATCTCTCAGCAGGTTGATGGTCAGGGATGGAGGACGCCAGCCTACGGGTGACCTCCCCATCCCCAAAACTCTAAACCAGCCTGCTTCCCCACACCCTCCCTGCCCCAACCACTCAGGATAAAGGCCATAGATACCTAAGAGGAAATGAGGACAGCGTTTGTTGGGCTTGTGGGATGCTGCAGGGGAGGGACCAGGGCAGGGGCTGACCACAGCATGACCATGGTGGCAGCGGCCTTGGCCAACTATGACGGGCTTTGGAACGTGAACTCTGCCTCCAGGGCTGCTGCTGGCCCTCTTGGGAGCATTTGCCCACGTTCCTGGTTCAGGAGTTCAGGAATAGCAGGTAAAACATCTGCCTAAAGCCGGGCGCGGTGGCTCATGCCTGTAATCCCAGCACTTTGGGAGGCCGAAGTGGACAGATCACCTGAGGTCAGGAGTTCGAGATAAGCCTGGCCAACATGGCAAAACCACGTCTCTACTAAAAATACAAAAATTAGTTGGGCATGGTAGTGCACCCCTGTAATCCCAGCTACTCAGGAGGCTGAGGCAGGAGAATTGCGTGAACCCGGGAGGTGGAGGTTGCAGTGAACTGAGATTGTGCCACTGCACTCCAGCCTGGGCAACAAGAGGGAAACTGTCTTAAAAAAAAAAAAAAAAAATCTGCCTGAGGTCTTGGGCAACTGAGAGGCCCTGCTGACTGCAAGCCCTGCATCCCATGGGAGCCACCTTGACCCCAGGCTCTAAAGCCACGCAGACCAGGGATCAAGCCCAGCTCCATGCTGAGCAGCAGCAGGACCTTGAGGTGAGCTATTCTAACTGTCTGAGCCTCCACTTGCTCATCCGCTATAAAATGGGAACGATATAATCCACCAATACAGTCCGGGCACACGGGCTTTTAGAGGGATTAGGCAAGAGAACTTGTTCAAGGGCACAACCCAGCACCTGGGAGGTGGGAGGGCTCAAAAACACCCCAGCTGTGATTCCCGTGACTGTTGAAACTTGTTGACACTAAGACGACCATTTCCCCACATGTTGATGTCCCCAAAATCAAGGTGCGCTTTACACTAGCTGTGATAAGAATGCCTTGGGTCATCATTAAATTGGCAACTTCTTTCTCTGAGCTGGTGGTAAATAAAATAAGGGGGCCTTTTATCATCGATGGCCCCATTTCGATTTTATGAAATACAGTAGCCCCCACCCCCTACTCCTGAATAGGCAGATCTGTACTCCCTCCCCAGGGGCCTTCCAACTCCTGTTCCTCCATCCCCCTACCAGGCTGGACACTCACAGCTCTGTGTCCTCCAGGGCCGGCGGGCGTTCCATCGCCTGCCGCCGCCTCCTCACGGCCCCCAAGATCTTCTTTCGGGGCCCCAGGGGGACGCTGATGCTGCGGAGGTCGAGGTCAGAGCACAGCATCAGAGCCTCCAGGTCAATCTTCTCCTGCCGCAGGAGGGCGGCAAAGTCCTCCATGTGCAGAGAGGCCAGAAAGGTCTCCAGCGGGCTGGTCTCGGGCTCCAGGTCCTCGTCCAAGCCTAAGTCCAGCTCGTCCCAGGGCAGCTCCTCCCCACAGCTGCGGTCCTGCAGGCTGTTGGCACTGCCCAGGCTGTCATCGTCCAGGCTGGGGGAGCTCTGCAGCCGACCCCGAGGCGCTCCCATCCCGTCCAGCCCCCCATCCTCGCGGCCCAGTCCGTGCAGCCCACTGCTCAAGTAATTTCTGCGGAACACCATGGTGCCCAGGCCGGGGCGGGTAAAGAGGGAGTCGTGGCCTGAGTCGGTGCTGACCTCCGAGTGGGCAGGCTCGGCTGCCAGCGTGGCACGGGAGACACTGTCCTCGTCCGAGAGGAACATGTCCCGGAGCGGGGCTCGGCCCCACTCCTTGGGATTGGCGTAGGTGCCCTGGCGCACGAACATCACGTCGTTGCCCAGCTGCAGGCCCGAGAGCGAGCGGGCGCTCTTGCGCCCATCCTCGGAGACTTTGAAAGTGCCTTCGCCGCCCTGCTTGCGCCGCTCCAGCTTCTTCTGTATCTTGGTCTTGCCCCTGGCCGTGCCGTACAGCGTGGCCTGCGAGTACGGCAGGTGGCTGCCCAGCGCCAGGTGCTGCAGCCGGCGGCTCAGGGTGCTGGACGTGAGGCTGGAGAAACTGAGGGTGTCGGAGCGCTCGGCCAGCTCGCGCCGGTAGCGCCGCTCCATGCGTTCGTGGTGCTTGCGCTGCAGCTTGGCGCACTCGCGGATGCGCCGCTCCGCCTCGCGGAAGGCCTTGTCCTTCAGCTTACCTACTAGCTTGGGGTTGAGGCTGCTCTGCTTGGCCGCGATGGAGTCCAGGTAGCGCACGCATTCCATGTGGCCCTTCATGGCAGCCATGTCCAGTGGCGTGTGGTAGTCGTTGTCTAGGCACCAGATGTTGGCCCCGAAGGACACCAGGAAGGACAGGCAGTGCAAGTGGCCATTGGAAGCTGCCAGGTGCAGGGGTGTGTTGCCCCAGATGTCACACTTGTCCGGGTCACCCCTGCAGGGAAAGCATCCAGGAGGGACTAGTGAGGAGTCCTGGCTGGGGATGGAGGTGGAGGGAGTGGAGGGGGGAAGGGAGCTCCCCTACTGTCACAGCAACCCCAAAAGGGACCGTGGGCCTGAGACCTCTTCGACTCCAGGAGACCTGCAGGCCTAAGCCACCCAACAGGTGAGCCCAGGGGTGAGCCCAGGGGAAAATGGCCCCAGGTGTGCAGGGAGTGGGGTGTCAGAGAAGGCGGGACTGGGGCGGGACCTTCCCCAAGCTAACTGAGGGCTGGGAATCTCAGGGGATAAATATTTGATGCCCTGAGAGAAGGGAGTAAATTATTCATGAGGCCCAGCACAGAGCTGGCCAGAGCACTGGGGGGCCAGGGCTGCGTCTGGGTCTCTAGGCAGGCATGGTGGTGAGTGTGGCTGCGTGTGCCGAGTGACCGTAAAAGAGAACAGACCAGAGGGTGGTGTGTACCGGGCCCCAGCCCCGGGTCAGCGTGTGTGAGGTGTGGGCTTGTGTGTCAGCAGGCAGGGCCCTGTCTGCAGGGAGCAGGGCCAGCCCTGGCAAGCCCGAGTGTGAGAGGAAGTGTCGGGCCTTGGCCTGGGCCAGGAGGGGAGCGCAGGGGCAGCCAGGACTGGAGGGGAGGAGGAGGGAAATCAGCTGCCTGCGCTCCGAAGCCCTCCCTTCCCCAGGCTGCCCCCTCTTTGTTATCCCTTCAAGGCTGTCTCACTTGAGCCTGTCCAGGGACCCCCGACAGCCCCCACAAGCACCCCTCACACCAGACTGTGTCCCTCAGGGCAAGCTCCCAAGACTCCTCCAGAGCTCTCCCTCCCTTGGGGGCCCAGCACAGCACCCCTGCCCTGCACTAATGAGGCCACGAGGCCAACCCCCAGGGCTGGGGGAAGAATCACTCCCTTGTCTCAACAGCTCCTCACACACTCCCTCCTGGGCCTCCCCTCCTGGCCACCAAGTCCTACAGGCCAGTGTGGGAAGGGCCTGCCAGCACCCGACCCACACCCCATCAAACACCAATCCTGGTCTCTGGAGGAGTTGGGGCTTGGCATACCCAAGGGGAGACCTCTTCCCCTTCTCCCTTCCTCCCATGAGCCTCTCTGAAGGGATGGCAGGGGACAGTGTCACTGTGTGCTCTCCTGGGATGAGGAGGGGCCAGTCAGCCTTGGCCTCCCGGGACATGGCTCAGCTGCCCAGGCTTCGAGGCTGCTCCCACCTGATGCTGGGCCCAAGGAGCAGCCCAAGGAGGGCGCAAGAGGGAGGGGTCTCCAGCACCCACTACATGATCAGGCCATAGGCCAGTGCCTGGGCCCCAGCCCTCTCTCCCATGACCTGAGACTTCATATCAACCCTCCTGGGGTGTCCTGTCCACCCCTCATCCTGTCCAGGCCGCCCTGGTGTTCAGACCAACCTGACTCCTCTTTATAAAGCCATTGGGGCTGAGGGAATTGGTCACAGTCATTTGACTTTAGCCCCAAGGAACCCATGTCAATGGCTCTAGTCCTGGAGGTGGCTTAACTGCCACCTCCAGGCCCCTTCCCTGGCGCTGACACCTGCACTCTCTGCCCACCCCTCGCCCTAGGACAACTCCAAAGGGAGGGGGAGGGGAGAGAGGCCCCTTCAGGGTGACCACATCACAGTCTCCCCATTGCTTAGCTATGCCCGGCTGTGGGGGAGGGACTTGGAGAGAGTTAATGGGGTGGCTGAATCAGTGACATTTGGCGCTCTGGACAGTGTCCATAAATCCCCGAAATGAGCAGGGTGATGGCAAGCGCTGTGTGACACCAGCCTGCCAGGGAAGGTGGGTGCTGGCTGGGAAAGCCCTTTGGATCCAAGGCTGCGGAGTGGGCAGTGAAGACCCCACCCTTTCTAGCCCCCACTGCTGGCCCCTCCAGACTTCCCAGCCTTCTCTCCGAGTCTCATTAAGCCCCTCACTCTTACTTTCAGGGGTACCCCAGCCAGGGGATCTCTCCCACCTTCCCCTCACTCTGCAGCAACCCCCCATAATCAGGAACCCCCAAATCCCGGTTTCTCCCCTTCCTAGCCCCAGATCGAGGTCACAAGTGTTACAAGTGTCAGATGCCTCTGCTTGGGTCCCCCTCCACGTGTGTCTCTCCCACAAACGCCAGGGTCTAAGGGTCCACCTGTCTGCAGGGGAAGGAGGCAGCTCAGAGGAGGGGTGGACGATGGATCCCAGGGAGTCTGGGGTGGTCTCAGGGGTCTCAAGGGCGCTGGGTGGGGAGTACTCACCCGCGGCTCACAATGAGGCGCAGCGACTCCAGGTTGCCGTGGTAGGCAGCCCAGAGAGTTGGGGTCATGCCATCCTCGTCGGGGGCATTCAGCTCCTTCCGGGTGGCCTCCTTGAGGAGCTCCAGGTAGCCATCCCGGGCTGCCCGGTGGTACTGGTCGTTCATGGCGCCCGAAGTGGACGGAGTGGGCGGGGGACACGGAGAAAGGCCCCCCGCAGGGGAGGGCGGTGGGGTTAGGGCTGAGGCATGAGGTTGGGGGAGGGGGCCGGGCAGGGGCCGGGGCCGCCAGCCCCCGCTGCCGCAGACGGAGGGTGCGGAGCGCCAGAGCCGCGACTACCGGGACATCTGAGCCGCTCACCCGGCGGCGGAGGGGGGCGGCGGGGGGAGCCGAAATCTCCCTCTGTCCAGGGAGCCGCCCCCGGTCTTCCCCTGGGTCCTAAACACCCTGCATGCACCGCAACGCACGAGGGTGACCCACGCAAGGCCCTGCCCTCCTCTTCAAAAGTGCCCATCCCGGGGCCCCGCCCTGTGACGCCCAGTCCGGGGACAGTCAGGGGTCTGTCCTCACTAGAGCCTGGGGCGCTGTGGCTTCCTATTTCTCCACCTGTCAGTGGAACGAGCCGAGAGCTGGGGAGGGGTGCTGGAGGGCGGGGTGGGTGAGCCGTCCTGAGCCCCAGGACAGTGGACCTAAGAAGGGGCACCAGCATCGACCGCAGTATGGTAAGCGAGTGGGACAGGCCAGGCCGCCGCCGCCCGCACGGAGTCCCTCGACCGCGCTCCAGCAGAGGGCGCTAGAGGACTGGCAGCGGCTCCGTGCGCCGCGTGGAACTTCGCACCCAAGCCCCGGACTTCGCAGCATCCAGCAGAGCGCGGGCCGGCGGGGGCGCGGGCAGGGCGGTGGGATAGAGGAAAAAAGAGCTTGGATCACTGCGAGGACTGCGGGGGAGAGGGGGGCTGGGGTTCCCACCCCGAGCAGGAGCAGAGGAGCACAGGATTCAGGGTGCGTCGCGGCTGGAGGGCGTCAGGGTGCCCGCGGGCTTTTGGGACGTCTCTTGAGCTTAGCTCTCGGGGCTCTGGGCGCCTGGAATGCTGTACGCCAGGGCGCGGTGGGCACCGGGGGCGGGGTGCCCTCTGGGTGCCTCAGTGCGGGGCCGCGCCCGAGCCTGGCCGCACCGGGGTGACGGAGTGGGGTCGCCTCTCAAAGGGTAAATATGAATCTTGCCTTATCTGGCTCCTGCGGGCTCTTCCCTAAATTCACCTTGGAGAAAGATGGATCATGTGAGCGGGACTGAGAGCTTTATGGAGCCGAACTCCCGCAGCTGTAAATCACCCTGTCCGCCTGGGTATAAAGCGCCTGTCCATCCCGGCGAGGGAGAGAGGAGACGTTCACCGTCCCCTGACCCCCAGCTCAGCGCCGGCTCCAGGCCCAGCCAGGTGGGTGCCCCGGGCCAAAGGGCAGTCAGACTTGGGGAGTGGGGACCTTAGAGGGGTCCAGCCGGGTGCTACCTGCCGCTTCTCCTTTCTTTCTTCCTGTCCAGCGAGAGGGGCAGGTTCCGTGTTTTCTCTTCCCCTTTCCCAGCGCTTCCTCCAGCACCTGAAGCCCCCACCCTGCGGGTCAGGAACTCCCTAGTCCCCAAATCTAGGGATGAGATGGGGAAGGAGAGCTGTCGGGGTTGACCTGGAGTTTTATCCGCTCCTCCCCGACAGTAATCCCTCTAGCCTTCTCCAGTCGCCCCCGCCATGTCCGAGGAGCTGGCCCCGGGTCCCCAGGAGAGCCCCCCGGCGCCGCGGGCGGGCCCCAGGGAGGTGTGGAAGAAGGGCGGTCGCCTGCTGTCTGTGCTGCTGGCCGCGAACGTGCTGCTCCTCGCCTGCACGCTCATCAGCGGCGGAGCCTTCAACAAGGTGGCCGTGTACGACACAGACGTGTTCGCGCTACTCACTACGATGATGCTGCTGGCAATGCTCTGGATCCTCTTCTACCTCCTCCGAACCGTGCGCTGCCCCTGCGCGGTACCCTACCGGGACGCGCACGCTGGCCCCATCTGGCTCCGAGGTGCCAGGGGAGGTGGGGGCGAGGTGGGGTGGGCACAGCAGGGAGCTGCAGGCTAGGGCTCTCACAGGAGTTGCAGAGCCCAGGGTGACATATAAGGGTGAGAGTTTGCCTAGAGAGGACCAGGAGGACCGGAGGGTGAGGTGGGCTGCAGTTAAGGATAAAGAGGAAGGGAAGGGGTCCTGGGGAAGGGATAAATAGAGGGATGGGGTGGGACCTCTTTGTCCCCTGGTCCGAAGATTGGAGAAGGCTGGCTAAGGGAGGGCCTTTGATGGAGAGCAGGAACCAGAAGACAGCAGTCACTGAAAGAGCCCAGCCAGGGCCCTTTGCGGTATCCACACAGCCCCAAAGAGACGGGGGCTTGGTAGCAGGTCCATCCATCCACCCACTCAGTCATACACTCACCCTTCCATCCACCCATTCACCTTTCAGTCTGTCTATACCCCTATCCACCTATCCTCCCACCCTCCCCACTGATCCATCCAACAGTGCACTCACTCACTTGTCCACCCACCCATCTAGCTTCCCATCCTCAGGGCCTGTCCTCAGCTGGGCAGGCCTTCTCTCCTGCCTCTCTGATCTACCACCGCCACCCACTCGCCCTGGTTCTCAGGTGGACTGGTGCTGTTTGGGATCTGCACCCTCATCATGGATATCTTCAAGACCGGCTACTACTCCAGTTTCTTTGAGTGCCAGTCAGCCATAAAGATCCTGCACCCTGTCATCCAGGCTGTGTTTGTCATCATCCAGGTGGGTGGAGGAGTGTCGCTGTGTGGAAGAAAGGAGCTAACACTTGGCCATTGGAAAGGACCCAACAAGGGGTCGGAGACCTGAGCTCCACCCGCCTGGTATCCTGAGCTATTAAGTAAACTGGGGACAGGGCTGTAGAGAGCATCACAGGAGTCCATCAATGCGGAAACACCTCATAATGAAGTAATATCCCAACGTGAGCTCCCACTTGGAGCTCTGCAATGTTATTTCAACTTAAGCAGTGCCAGTAGTTAACACCTAGGAGGTGTGAGCTGTGACAGCCAGCCCTGTCTCCTAGAACCTGGCCTGCCCTCCTTGGGTACCCGTAGGGGGCTCCTGTGTCAGTCCAGGCTCCTGCCAGCTTGGTCCCTCTGTTCTGTATTTGTTTGGAAAGTAGGGTAGCCTGTAACTGGGATTTCTCCAACATTCGTTTTGTAGTTGTTGTTGCATAAACAATACTTTGAAAGATCTTCTGATTGAGCTGAGACGGGACTGGGCTTAGATGGGATCAGAACAGCCCCCAGCCCTCTATCATGACCAAAATGGCATCATGGATGATGTCCTCCCCAGAAACATCACCCCTGCTGCCCAGGTTTTCACAGTTCAGCACACATGTGGTTGTGGCATTTATGTAGCTTTAGTCTTTCATATTTTATGGGTTTGAAGAATACTCAGGTAAAATGAAAATATAGATATCCCCACATCACCAAATGCCATAGCAGGGATTCACAGGCAGCCAGACGGTAGGAAGGCCTGGTACGGTGACAGAGGAAGAGGATGAGCAGGGGATGTTGTCAAAAGAAGGTGAGAAGTCCACAGAGGCTCCTTCCACCCTGAGCAAGACCTAACCTGAGGCTGGCCTTGCTCCCAGAAAAAAAAAAAAAAAAACTAGGTAGTCAGAAATCTACTTGACCCCCACCTCCGCACAAAATAAACCCCACCACGGGCAGGGTTTTACATGTGATGTTTTGCAAACCTTTGAAGAATGGAGAACCACTATTTTATACAAACTGTGTCAGAATAGAAAGAGACAGTGTTCCCCACCTCATTTTTTTTCTTTTTCCTTTTTTTTTTTTGAGACGGAGTCTCCACTCTGTCGCCCCAGGCTGGAGTGCAGTGGCAGCCAATCTTGGCTCACTGCAAACTTCCAACCTCCCGGGGTCAGCCATTCTCCTGCCTCAGCCTCCCGAGTAGCTGGGATTACAGGTGGCCTGCCACCACACCCAATAATTTTTGTTGTTTAGTAGAGATGGGGCTTTTACCATGTTGGCCAGGCTGGGTATAAGCTCCTGACCTCAAATGATCCAACCTGCCCTCGGCCTCCCAAGGTGGGCTGGACTTACATGTGAGCCCCACCGGCACCAGCCCCCGCCTCCATTTTGTGAACACAATGAACCCTGATAACTCGTGGTAAGTCCCCTCAGGTGGAGAGAACAACGATGGCATGACATGGGTGCACTGGAGTTTTGGTCCATCTATAGAGTGAATGACCTTGCTCACCAATGTCTCTTCAATACAGGGGACCTACTCCTCTGGGTCCTCTGCTAAAGATCTCCGTTCACGTCACCTGAATCTGAATCCCGTGGGTGAGAGCTGCAGTCCATGCCTGTGCCCAGTATGTGGTGTTCACCTTTGCAGGAGAGATTCGGGTTTCCACCCCGGAGCAGGGCCTCTGGTTATGTCCCCTGGGTGGGTTGCAGGGCCAGCTCCTTGCTTTGTCAGGCTGACTTCCACTACTTTGTGGGGGCCCTTTCTCCCCCGGGGAGGGGATGGGGGTGGCCCCCGGGAAAAATCTCCTAGCCCTGTCTTTGGTGGCATACCAGCCAGGCTGTGTTCTAGCAAAATCAGCTTCCCTGTTCACACAGGCCTGGCTGCTTTCTCATTCACACCCAGCTTTCGTATTGCTCCCCAACCTGCCAAAGGGTCACAGGCTTCTTTGTCCCTGCCCCCAACCCCAAACAGGGTGGTGGTCTTCATGTTCACACTCACCACCAACCGGGCCATCTGGATGGCGGCCGTGGTGGATGAATCGTGCACCAATCCCACTCCTACAGCATCTCACAGCAACGCCAGGCCACGCCCATCTCGCCTCTGACCGTGAGTTCCCCTAATCTGGCCCGGTGGCTACCAGGCCTTGGGCTGGGTGCTTTAATGAGTTTGTAACGTCAGTCTCCCATGAGGGCATGGAGGCAAAGGAGAGAGCCATGGGACCTCCTCCTGCTGCAGGATCTACCTCTGCAGGATAGGTGTAGGTGACCCCAGAAGGAAGATAGGGGCACCCCTTATCCTTGAACTGGCCGCAGGCCCCCTGTCCAGTCTCCATCCCACCAGGAAGGCCAGGACCAGGAGCAGTGGGTCATGCTTGTATTCTCAGCACTTGGGAGGCCAAGGCAGGTGAATTGCTGAGCTCAGGAGTTCGAGACCAGCCTAGGCAAGATGATGAAACCCCATCTCTACAAAAAATTAGCTGGGTGTGGTGGTGCATGCCTGTGGTCCCAGCTACTGTGGAAGCTGAGGTGGGGAGGATCGCCTTGAGCCTGGGAGGTCGAGACTGCAGTGAAGCTGTGATTTGCGCCACTGCACTCCAAACCGCGGTGACAGAAGTGAGACCCTGTTTCAAAAAAAAAAAAGGGCCGGGCGCGGTGGCTCACGCCTGTAATCCCAGCGCACTTTGGAAGGCCGAGGCGGGCGGATCACAAGGTCAGGAGATCGAGACCATGGTGAAACCCCGTCTTCTACTAAAATAGAAAAAATAGCGGCGCCGAGTGGCGGGCGCCTGTAGTCCCAGCTAACTCGGAGAGGCTGAGGCCGGAGAATGGCTGTGAACCCGGGAGGGTGGAGCTTGCAGTGAGCCGAGATTGCGCCACTGCACTCCAGCCCTGGGCGACAGAGTGAGACTCCGTCTCAAAAAAAAAAAAAAGAGAGAGACCCAGACCCAGAATCCAGGAAGAAAGGGCAAGGAGTGATCAAGCTGGGAAAGGCAGAAGGGGGC